TCCCATCGTTCAGGAAACCGCGAACAGAGCCGCCGTGTCCTTCATACTGATCGATAACGAGTACCAGTCCGTCAAACTTGGGAGCCGTGTACAGGCTCGCCGGTGTCTCCCGCGCTTGTGAGTCCTTGATGTACCACAACTGCAGGTTACCGCCTCCACGCTCCATGCCAGTCGCTCTGAAGTCCAACTCGGCCGTCCAGTCGCCGCTGTGGTGTAGCGGGTCCTGCGCCCATATCGAACCACGCTTGCCTCCAGGGTAGGGAGGTGTGAGGATAATTCTGTCGGAAAGAATCTGGGGCACATAGTCGTCTGAGCCCTGGATGACGAAGTGAGGGACTGTCGTGTAATCGGGCGAGATTTGTTGGCCAGCTTTCTGGCCAAAGCTGAGGTTGTCTATGACATATTGGGCGTGCGCTGTGGAGAGAGCGAGGGTCGACCAGGCAATGGTCCGCAGCGATTGCGGTGTGATGTGCATGTTGGAGGGGCGCAATGCGGTGCTCGGGTTGACGATGAGGCTCGACTCGGGGTGCAATTGGTTGCTCGATTATACTCGGACGTAGTCTATCTATCTGGAATCTTGTCAGAGGATTGTCGAATTGGAGCTAAAGCAGTGAACCAACGTACCTCCTGCTTGGCTGATAGTAGCTTCACCTGCGTCGCAATGATTCACGCGACGGTCGCAAGTCAATTAATCGAGAGTGAAGGAAACAATCGGGTATCACGAAACGATGGCAATGCACAAGAAAAGAAGAACCGCCGCCAGATGGGCAGGAACGAAACCGAATGGAGATGGGGGAGCTTATGGACAGCTGTGCTTAAGACGGGTCTACCTATGACATTGATTGGGTGGTCTATGCGCCGAGATACTGCGACAACTCTGGTAAGCCACCATCTAAGATGAGACGTCAAGCCCGCGAGGACATTCGACCTGCGGGTACGACACTGATTCAATGTTTCAAGTGATGCGCAAATGACCGAAAATATAGTCGCAAAAGGGTCTAGCCACCGCGATACAGCAATGCGGAGGTTGCTTGGCGGTTCGGTGCGGTCGGGAGTCGTGATTGGCCGACTACCATTTTCTCATCGTCGACTACCTCATGACCGAGCTGCATCCGCCATCGTCGCCGCCTACACGTCTCACGCACCCCACGCCAACCCCTCACCCTCACGGCCAACATGTCTGCACCGGATCCCAAGGAAGCCTGGGCGCGCATCCAGAATGAGCTCACACGACGCGGCTCTCGATTCGGCGGCGCGGGCGGCGGCGGACCACCGAAGGGCCTCTTTGGAGGTCTTGGAGGTCTGGTACTAGTTGGTGGTGGAATCTGGATGGCGAACAATGCTCTGTTCAACGGTACGTCTTCTTTCAAGAGCTCTCTCATAGGGCCTTCCAATGGCCATAATACGAATGATGCTGACTTGCGACAGTCGACGGTGGTCACCGAGCAATCAAGTACACCCGAGTAGGCGGCGTCCAGAAGGAAATCTACAGCGAAGGAACCCACTTCCGTATTCCCTGGTTCGAGACTCCCATCACCTACGATGTGCGCGCCAAACCCCGAAACGTCGCCTCCCTCACCGGCACCAAGGACTTGCAGATGGTCAACATAACCTGCCGTGTACTGTCAAGACCGCGAGTCGAATCTCTGCCGCAGATCTACAGGACACTCGGCACCGACTACGACGAGCGTGTTCTGCCATCAATCGTCAACGAGGTTCTCAAGAGCGTCGTGGCGCAGTTCAATGCCAGTCAGCTCATCACACAGCGTGAGAACGTCAGTAGGCTGGTACGCGACAACTTGGTCCGAAGAGCAGCGAGGTTCAACATCATGCTCGACGATGTCTCTCTAACAGTAAGTTGCCGCCCACCTGTTCTTACCCCACCATGGTCTAACACTCCCTAGCACCTCGCCTTCTCCCCCGAGTTCACCGCCGCAGTTGAAGCCAAGCAAGTCGCACAGCAAGAGGCCCAACGTGCCGCCTTCGTCGTCGACAAAGCCCGCCAGGAGAAGCAAGCCACCGTTGTTCGCGCCCAGGGTGAGGCCCGCTCCGCCGAGCTGATTGGTGACGCCATCAAGAAGAGCAGGAGTTACGTTGATCTCAGGGAGTTCGAGAACGCAAGGAATATCGCACAGATTCTGCAGCAGAGCGCAAACAAGGTCTACCTCGACAGCAGGGGTCTCGGTCTGGACATCAGCCAAACCACAGCGGATAAGGAGCAGAGGGCGAACAGGAAGTAGGAAGACTAGGTGGAATGCGTCTCTGAGAGAATACTATTCGAAGACAACGCCGTGTATAAATATCTCTGGGAAAAGCGAGGTGCAAGCGTGCAATTGTGTAGCTTTCCACTCATGACTAAATAACAACAAAGTACTCCAACTCAACCTCGCTCAGTCCCCATGGTACGGGAGGCGCATGCGATGGCCACGTGTACCACTGAAGCATCATATGAAGGAGAAGATAAGACTGTGTCGAAAGGGTAATGGTATTAATGCGCAAGTACTATATAGGGGTATCACTCTTCACTCTTCCTCTTTTTCTCCGCATGCTCGTCTTCCTCTCCTCCAGCAAGCTCAGTTCCATCTTCACCGATCTCACTCTCAACCTCATCCACAGCCCTCTTCCTCTTCTCCGTCCTCGTAACCTCCTCACCAGCCGACTTCTCCGTAACAAACAACGTACTAGCCGTCTCCTTCACACTACTACTACTCTGCTCACTCACCCCCTGCTCCACCACCGCCTCCCCATCCTCCTCCTCATCAACCAACCCCAGATCCGCCGTATTCTTATCCGGATCCTCGAGCGCAGCTTGAATCTTCTCCAGCCCCATATCGTCTCCCTCAAGCGTCTCACTGATATCAGGATCCACCCAGCCCTCTGTATAGCTGCCCCCAAAATCAATGATCCAAAGCTCGTCATTCGCGTCGACCATGAAGTTATCTGCTTTCGCATCACCCCAGATGATACCATTGTCGTGAAGCAACGACACATACACCGCACTCTTCTCACTCCAAACACGCCTCTTCTCTTCATCCACCGACGACCTGAGCAACTTGGTCAACGGCGTTGGCGCATCGATGTTCTCTAACAACAAGCCCATGACTTCTGTCTTGCTATTGCCCTGAGCAACAAAGCCACGTAGGTGGGGAAACTTGATATCAAGACCTAATTTCTCGATCTTACGCAGGATCTGTATCTCGCGCTTCACAGAGTCGGGTTGGTCGGCTACCACCGGCTTGAAGAAGTATGTCTCGTTTGTTCCTTTGTGGACGACTTGGCCTGGGTGTGCGGGAGGTGGCATGCTGACTTCTGACTCGACGATCAGGTCGTTGGCGTTGAGCCAGGGGAGCTTGTAGTCTTGCATGTATTTGGGGACTTTCATGCGGGGGACGAGGGCTTCGATTTGGGCTTCTAGATCGGATGTTGTCTCCAAGAGTTCTGGTGAGAGTTCTCCGTTGGCGATTTGTAAGGTGTAGAAGTATGTGGGGCCATGGTACCATTCGTAGAGGGTAGATTCTTCGGGTTCGCGGTTCGGTGGCGCGTAGGTGTTTGTGATTTCGGAGAAGGAGGCGAGGATCCAGTTTCGCAGTTCAACGCCTGCGCTCGCGGAGTCTTGATCGGCGTCTTCTCCTGTTTCTGAGACGTCGTCCTCTACGTATTCGTCGTCGTCAGAGTCGGCTGTGACGTCGATGCCGCTATCCTTTCCCTCTGAGCCTTGTCGGTCCTTGTTCTTGTTCTTCTTGCTCTTCACTTTTGCTTCTCGTTCTTCAGCGAGCTCCTCTTCGCGCTCGTCGGCTTCGCGAAGCGCAGAGATCTTGTCGAGGTATTCGTAGTAGAGAGGCTTCTCAGAGGACTTCTGAAGTACCTTGGGGTCAACAGTGACGTGGAAGCGGACATCGTTGATGAGAGCTGTCAGAGCACAGCTATCGTCGTTGTCATAGGAAAAGTATAGGGTATGCGCTTTGGTGGTAGTCTGAGCCATTGCTTCAAAGAGAGTGCGATTGGTGCTAGGCGTACCGACGGAAGTATGAATGAATGGTCTCTAACATGAACGACGGCACACTACATCTATACTGACATCGCAACAGCCCACAGACTCAAATCTACCCCTGCACCGACATCATCGCTATCTAGGATCGCCGACCTAATCGCATAGCAAATGCCATGCCACACCATAGGGGGCTTTGTCTGACCCGTGCATCTACATCATAGATGTCGTCCTGATCTGCAGGTACGATCGATATAGTGGGGAACGGCACCTTCGGGAGGTATTCTAAGTGGCTGGCAAGTGCTGGTGCGTCAATAGATCCGATCTCGAATCGACGTCAGGGTATCGATCTGAAACTGTATGAAATTGGAAAGGTTGGGGTGAAAGGGATCGGGGGCTGGCGCGTCGCGAACACGGGTGCGCGCGATCAGATGTCGTGACGTCAACTAATTGCCGTGACGACTTAGCGCTTCTGCGTTCCTGTGACGACCATCCCCAATTCGATAGATCAGATACATGATTTGCTTTTTGTCAGCTTGTTGGTTGACCAGGGAATCACATGTAAAGAATCTGTCTGGATAGTGATGTTTCAAGACGAAGTTATATTTGTCGATTGACAAGACGTCCAACATTGTCGCATTGCTACATAAACGCTCATCGTTCGTATCGATGCATCGCTAGCAGAAATACTGCACTAGTTCTGACGTTCAATCGTCGAGATAGCCAAACCATATACGCCGTTTTGAAATAACAATTGTGCCTGCCAAAGGAGCGTGATCCCCACGTCGTGCGGCCCCTATAGTAACAAAAACCAGAAGCGAAACATGATCCTTTCCTAAGAATGATCTTAGATCCTGTCAAGATCTTGGAGAACCCGCCCAGAAATAAGAATTGAAAGCAATGCGCTGAACCATCTTCCAGAGATTTCGCAAACGCCGAGTCATTATACGTCGTAATCCATAACAGTTATCATACAGCCTCGCAGTGGCGTCGTCGCGTCGAGTAAGAATATTTATACGGTGAAGTCCAAAAGATCGTACGATGACGAGTCCAATGAAGTGAAGTCGCCCATTGCCTTCATCTCGAGGTCGAACTGAGAGTATGAAGTGTCAGGCATGGTGTCGAACAACTCATCGAGAGCGTCTTTGGGCTCGATTGGCGATGTCGGTGGTGTTGTGAACTGATGAGACTGGACAGACGACCGTGATGGTGACGACGAAGCCTTTAGAGGGCTGGACTGGACTGGCGCGCTCGAACCGTTTGCGGACCCAGCGGAAGCGGGCCGCATGTCGGCGGGTGACATAGGAGGCGTATGCGAGTGTTGAGAGAGCTGTTGGAGGATGTTCATTGACGCAGCGTCGCTTGAGTAGGTGGCAGACGCAAAGCTCGATTGTGCGTCGTCTGCGAATGGGCTTGATGAGGCCTCAAAGCTATTACATGTATCAGTATTGTATTGGACAACGTGTGGTTGAGAAACTAACCTGAAGGGATCCGCTGAAGCGTTCATGGAGTCGTAGCTTTGCGAGTCGGACAGAAGCTGGGGCATGTCCTGCGATTGAGCTGGTTCGTAGCCCTCGAGTGGTGATGGCGATCGAGCTTCTGAGTACGGCGAGCCAGCTGAGGATGGTGCTGCCGATGCTAGTGCCCGCGACCTGCTGGCCTTCTCGACACGCTGCTCCATGTCTGGACGATTCTTCTTCGGTCGGCCACGCTTGGCTTGTCGGCGGACTGCGTCAGGGAACCCACCGACACACATACCACGCTGGCGGTGGCGGGTGAGGGCATCTTGTCGTGCGAACCCGGCGCCACATGGGCACTTGTAGGGCTTGTTGCCTGAGTGGATCTTTGCATGGCGCTTCAGGTCATGCTGGCGAACAAAGCACTTGCCGCATCCATTGCACTTGTATTGACGATCGCCAAGGTGGGTTTGAACGTGCGATCGGATGTTTTCTCGTCGTCCGAAGACCTTGCCGCACCCATGGTAGAGGCAGGTCCACTTGCCAGTTGTGGTATCTTGCTCGCTGATGTAACGCGCAACTTCTTCAGGTGCGATGCCAGTGAACTCGAAGCTCGCGTCAACCTCAAGGTCGTTGAAGATCTGAGGCTGGGAGAATGAGTCCATGGGGAGTCCGTTGATCGACATTGAAGTTTGCGGTGTGGGCAACAGAGCTGGTGTGTGCGAAAACATCATCTCTTGGTGCTCTTCGATGTTCTCTAGGAAAGAGTGCATGTCTTTCTGCTGTTGCGGCGAAGAAACTGGCGATGGCGACAAAGCATCGGATGTGTAGTAAGAGGACGACTCGTAACCCATGTCGGCATCTGGGTTGTCAAAGTCGAAAGTCATGGCTCTGGAGGTTGGCTCGAGGTTGATGTCACCCATAGCAGTGAAGCTTGGGTGCTGGGTTGCGCCAAACGACTCATGGCTTGGTAGCTGCGCTGGCTTTTGCGGTGTCGCAGTGGGGGTTGGGAGGATGTTAATGAAGACTTGTCCACTTGAGCCATACACTGATTGTATGTGCTCGTGGAGTTCTTTCAGTTGCTGTGCAGTGGGGGGTTTAGAGGGGGATGAGGGAGGCTGCTGGGGAGACTGCGCACGGAGTGTCCGTCGTGGAGTCCGCGGTGTGATGGGAGAGATCTGTACTGGGGACGCCAAAAAGGAATCCTGGGGGCCCGGCTGGGGCTGTCTTAGCGGCTGCGCTACTTGCATAGATTGCTGTGGTATTTGTCCTAGATTGTTAGTATTACTTACCGTACTGTCCTCCTGCTGGAAGGTGGGTGTGTCGAAGGGTCCTGGTCGTTGGGTGTAGTCCTGGTGTTGGGCTTGTCGGGCGGCATGGATGGGGTCTAGGTTGAGGCCGCGTAGATCCAAGCTCATGCCGCTTCGGTTGCGTCGTTGTAGTTTAGCAGGTGGTGCTCGTACTGTGGGTGCGTCAAAAACAGCTGGTGTCGAAAGTTGTCGGCGGTGCTGAATCCGTTGGCGCTGGATGCCGGCTGGCATATTTGTGGACAGCATTTCGTATGCAGGTGGAGTCCGGAGTCGGTTCTGGAGGAGGGGGATAGTCCTGTGGTGTCCGAAACTGGTATGTTGTTAGCGACTGATATCATGTGATGGCCCGCCCACGATGAGATGGAAGCCTCGAGTTGAGAGATAACGACTTACCTCACGCAGTGCAAGCGGCGCTCCGCCGGGCGGTTAGTATCCTTATGGAATCCTCAGTACAGATGCAGTCTCCCAGTAGCCTGCGTCAAGTAAGTGTGTGGCCGGAGCCTGTGCGTGTGTATATGTGTGTTGGTAGAGATGTGATCAGTAGCAGTCGCTAAAGCAGCAATCGATAGTTGAAACGAACAAAGAGATGTGGATGCGAGAGATGAGTAGCAAAGTGGAGGATAAATGCGGAGGAGGATATGACGATGTATAATGCCTTACCGGGTCGGGTAAACATTGAGCTCTATCTGGCGTTGCCGCCGCAACGACATGGTTCCAAGGTTACCCGGAGCCGCCCATGCACCAGAAGCGAGGCTAGGCTGAGACGGCGATAGCGCATCTGCGAAACGCACGGGGCGCCTGGTAGCCCGCGGGCCCGCCCACATTGATTTTGGTACTTTTCGAATTCCTCTGGTGCCTTCTCCCCGCAACCTTTGCATCTACGTGAGGAAAGCATCTCGAAGAGAGGCTCAGCGTTCAAGATGCAGATCTTCGTCAAGACCCGTACGTTACCACCCGCACACACGCTGCGCCGCCATGATCGCCATGATCGCATGCGCGGCGCCACCTAGAACTCAGCGGCTAATAACCTCCCAGTCACGGGCAAGACCATCACTCTCGAGGTCGAGAGCTCTGATACCATTGACAATGTCAAGTCCAAGATCCAGGGTATGTAGCGACATACCGCTCCACCGGTTCCACGTCTAACACCGCTCAGACAAGGAGGGCATTCCCCCGGACCAGCAGCGTCTGATCTTCGCCGGAAAGCAGCTCGAGGATGGCCGCACTCTTTCGGACTACAACATCCAGAAGGAGTCCACCCTCCACTTGGTCCTCCGCCTCCGTGGTGGAGCCAAGAAGCGCAAGAAGAAGGTGTACACCACTCCCAAGAAGATCAAGCACAAGCGCAAGAAGACCAAGCTAGCGGTCCTCAAGTACTACAAGGTCGACGGTGACGGCAAGATCGAGCGCCTCCGCCGCGAGTGCCCCCAGGCCGAGTGCGGTGCCGGTGTCTTCATGGCCGCCATGCACAACCGCCAGTACTGCGGAAAGTGCCACCTCACCTACGTCTTCGACGAGGCCAAATAAGCGCGTCGCCACCGGGGAACGCGATACGATCGACAACGAGTTACGGCATCATGGCATATATCGGAGGAGCTGGATAGGTTCCACCACAATGTCGGACATCTAGAATCAATCAAATTCGTCATGGACATCAGATGTTGTTACAATCTCCAATGCGTGAACCTGCCGCCCAGCGCATACGCTGCGAGCCTCGTACTGCTGTTTGTGAGACTGTGCATCATTACAGCTTTCATTACTGACTGGGCACAAAGCATGGACATTGGAATCGTGGTATCATCATGTCGTTATGGCTGCTGACCACTACCTAGCAACTACAAACTAACTGAGGTGCACATCACTACGACCGCTCCCAACATGCCAATCATTAGTATCGAGAATTGCTCCCCCGACATCCGCACGGCCGCTCCCAGTTGAGCGTTACCGCCCGGACCTGCGATCTCGCCTTGCCCACTCGTACCACCCTGGCCATTACCATTGGTGTTCCCACTTCCCCTCCCACCCGATCCGTCATCCGCCCCATTTCCTCCAACTTGACCACCGTCACTCCTTCCGCTTGTCTCAATCTCAATGTCCTGCATAGGCGTACCCGGTGGGTTGTTAACGCTGTTGACCTGAGTTTGGAAGTCGACCAACGGGTTTTCGATCATGGCGCAGGGCATTCGTCCACCATTTGCGCTGAGCGGTCCGGGAGCGGGTTTCGTAGTTAGCTGCGAGGCACCAGGGAAACGCTGAATGCTATTCGTAACGCTGATGGGAAGGTTGAAGATGGTGTATCGGTCCACGCCATTCAGTCGATAGTTCTGGTGTATGCTGATGTTGTAGTCCCCCCTCGCAGTAGAACCCTCATCCTCGTTGTTGTCTCCGACCAAACACTCAGGCCATTCGAAGTTGATGTGCTTGACTGTTTGACCACTTTCTTGATCTAGTATGTCTGCGAGTGGTGGTGTGGACGTCGTTATGTTCGATATAGTGAAGTTCTTCTGCGTAACCGTAGATGTAAGGAAGAGCGTAAAGTTAAAGACCTGGGTGAGTGGGTCGGCGATATTGCGTGGCGGCACTTGGAGTTTGCCATCGCCTGAGACATCGAGCGCGATGTGAAGGAAGTCGCCGCCCATGGGCGTAAATGGCTGGGGCTTGTGTTCTTGTCAGCAGTAGCATCGCGCGTCTTGACACTTCCACCTACTGCAAGGATAATTCCTAAGCCAGGTGTAAATATTCTTCCATTCACGATAGTGAACGCGCTGTTGTCGGGTCCATTGTTTTGTCCATTACGATTATTATCGCCGTTCTGTCGTCTCTCAAATCCTCCATGATTTGGCGACCACGATCCCAGCATCTGCGCACCGACGGCATTGTGCATTAGACATAGTGAAAAGAGTGAAAGGAACGAGAAAAAAGAGGAGGAAATCATTGCTCAACAACGATGCATGCTGACCAGCAGTAACGACAGAAGGAAAGAAGCGCGAAAGACAGCCTGAAGCAGGATATGTCGTTAGCAGGAGATCAAGGAAGCGCAATTACAGCGAGGCTTCGTAACCCGCGATAGCCGGTGGAGGTGTCGAGTGCCCAGTGGCCTTTGCATGATGCTTGGTAGTGGGCGAGAACTGGCTTTCATGCAATAGTGGACGAAATATGCCTTATGAGGCATGCGAATTTCATTTCGAGACGCGTGGTGTCTGAGGAGTGATAGTTCGGCTGTGGTTCAGCCGGTGGGGGCTGCTGTTCGCTAGGTCGTTTCTTCTGTGTCTCAGGCGCCTTCGCTCGAACACGACGCATCGGCGCGACTCATCGCTTCTGCGACCTATGATTACTAGCTTCTCTCCGATGATGAAGTGTAGAAACATAACCCTACTTCGTCTTAGATAACTCTCTTTCCAATTCAGCACTGCGCTCACCGGAGGTACTTGTCGGGCCTCACATAGCCGAGCCTGATGCGGCACAGCAATGACGAGCTCAGACTTGGTGCCACCTTATACAAGAGAAAACCTGAACAGGTCTAGAGCCTACAGACGTTAAGTTACCTACTTTGCGTGTTTTTATGTTAATGTAGGCTGCAGACCTGTTTTAGCTTTTTTGCAGGTTGACGTGGTGCGTAGAAACCGCGATATTGAGTCCATGATGCCCGCAGATGACCAACCTGTATCATGGCCTCATTTCAAGTACTTGCGGCAGTGCTAATAAAAAAACAACTGACATAACATTGTCGAGGTTGCCACCTCTTCACAATACCTTCGCGTCACGAAGCCACAGCACATTGTTGTGTCAACACCTATTACGTCTCAAGATGACACTGTAGGCAATGTCAGCGCACTGTCAAAAGCTGCGTTGCTGTTTACAAACATGTCTAGATCCAGGCCAGACTACAAAGGTCTTACTTCGCTCTCGACGGGCAGCAGCTGCCATCCACTTCAGACCTTACTGGCCCTCCTGGTGAGTGCTTTAGAGGTATTTTCGCCGAATCATGTGCAAATCATGCAGAATTCCTGGGGTTGCTCATCAAGAAGTCCGACATGATAAGTCTACTTCGTTCTCAGCGCCAAAAGACGACGCGGCAAAAGAACAAGCTATCAACACTCCTCCAACGACTTTCCAGTCATGGTTATTTGGTGTACTCAGCGGAGGTCAAGATTCCTGGATCATGAACTACATGAACTCGGAGTTCTATGATATTGCCCGAAATGCCATCAAAGAGCGCACTGGAGGTCGAGATGTCCAGATCTTGATCATGACATGTGCCGCTCTCAATGCTGCTCGTGTACAGCTTCCAGTCATACTGAGCGCGCTTTTGAATCAGGTAAAGCCACAGGTCACTAGTTCTATTACCATTAGTGGTTATGACAGTGTGCTTTGTGGCGGTTTGCTGACTCTAGCGCGCGAAAAGGCTGAAGAAAGCCGGAAGCTTCGACGTTTTCGCGGAGAGCATCAACTCCGTGCGGTTACAGGCGAGCTTTCGCTTATCGCTGGAGAGACAGCAGGATCCTTCTGGCACAAAGGCAGGCAGTTTATGCTCGAAATTCAGCGCTCTGGCACTGCAGAAAAATCAGAGCTTGAACGGTTGCGCACCAATGACTTTTTCACAAGCCTTCCCGATCCTTCGGGATCCATCACCGTTCGATGTTGGGGACACAGTCGACAGCCTATCACAGAGCTGTTTGAGGATGTTCAAAAGCAGGTTTTGGAAAGCACAGAATTGACCGTAGTCGAAATGGGAGCGCATGGAGACAAGAAGTCTAAGCGCAACAAGCGTCCTCTGTCCTCTATCGATCTTGACCCAAAGATGATGCAGGATATTACCCAGGACATCGAGATGTTCTTCCATAAAGACTCCCAAGCTTGGTATGAGAACAGCGGTCGACCCTACCGACATGGTTACCTTTTCGCAGGCCCACCAGGTACTGGTAAATCGTCGCTGTTGGCTGGGATTGCCTCGCACATGAATGTGCCCCTGTATATCATCAACTTACAAGGCATGGATGACTATGATCTAAGGGAAGCTTTCAGTCGAGTTCCTTTCCGGAGCTGCATTGGCCTTGAGGATATCGATTGCGTCGGCGTCGATGTCGGTAACCGAGGCGCACAAAATTCAGATACGCAACTCGGACCTAATTCTCAGTCGTTAGGTTCTGGAGACACTGAAGAGAAGCCCGAAATGAATGCGCTGGAGACCATGCTGGCACAATTCATGGAAAAACAAAGTGTCGCAAACTACAGGGTGCTCGATCAAGTCAAAGCTATAAAAGCGGCTACTCTAGAAGTCCTAGGTGAGCCTGAAGACTTCGCTAACGCAACCGATCCGAAGAAGACAACGAAGCCCTCTGAGATCACGGATCCTACACCCAAATCAGTAACCCTTTCGGGCTTGCTTAATGTCATTGATGGTGTCAATGCCACTGAAGGGAGAATAATTATCATGACGACAAACCACCCAGAGAAGCTTGATCCAGCACTGTATCGCGCTGGTCGTGTAGAGCGCAAGTTCGACATCTCCTACGCAAGCAAAGCCAGCTCAATCATGACCTTCAAGCGCCTCTTTGATCACGACGTCTGTAAACGATACACCTCAGAAGCTATCCATCGTTTCGCTTTAGCCTTCCAGGCCCAGTTCCCGAGCAAGTCGCGTATCACTACTGCAGAGCTTGCCAAATACTGCGGTCAGTATCGTGGAAGACCGGACATTGCTGTCCGC